TACGTAATTTAATATGCAAATGACATATTCTCTGACCCTAAGATAAGTGGTTAGGCTAATTTGATTTTATTCAAAATAATTAGCACATTTGTTTTTTCCAGACACACTCTTTAATCAATTATATTCATTACGTCTTTTAGAAATATATTTCATTTCCTACTGAAACACAGAGGGCCAACACTTAAATTTTTATGCCTGGGTAGAAATCTCCATAATGTCCTGATGAACTTTTCTGGTTGGTCAGAAGTTAGAGACAGAGCTCAAAGGCCCTTATCTTCTAAGATCCTGTAACTGACACAACTTTCTTGCAAAAACAAAGTGGTTGATAGATGCAGAACGAGCAGTCAGCACCATAAATTGGGTGATTTTCCCCATCACTTGGGCTTAACAAGACAAACCTCCAAGTTCACAGCAAAGGCTTATTTAAGTAGGAAGGAAGGTGAAGAATGTTATGAGAAAGTATATTCTGAAAGAAAACAGAATTCATAAAGGCAGGAATTTGTGAAGCAAAGCAAATAACTTGCACAAGCACTATTTGCCTCAAGGAGACAGCAGTAGGTTATCACCAACGGGCTCAGCAGAGGTGTGTAATTTTGGATCAGGTCACTATTTTCTGTGACCTCTGTACAGTGTATCAACGTTTGTGATTTATTGCAGCCCTGCTTTCTGGACAGGGAACAACAACCATGAAGGGACACTTGAATGTTGAATGTGAAAAATGTAACAATAACATGCCTCAGGAAACCATGAAAACCAACGCCAATGGCGGCCTTTTTTTTCTGTTTAGAAGCGATTGTGATCAAAATTTAACATAAGCCATGCCAAATGCACGCTTTATGTCTTACGTTTGAAACCAGCTGAAATCCACTGTCAGAGTCTGCAGGAGGAGCCAGGGAGGGTTGTGTAGGTCAGGATGGAGGTGGAGATGCAGTAAGTAATCTCTTATGCTAGCAGGTTTCAGTGCACTCCACAAACTAACATGGGCACAGACTCACTCGACTAAATATTCTGCATTAGCATGACTTTAATTAAAGGATCTCAAAGTATGAGTTAAAACCACTGTCCTGAGAAATAGCCTCACTGGTATGGCTTACATATGACAGAGGAATATATTTTTATTCCCATATCCCTAGATCCCCACTTTCCATCAACTCATTTCCTTGTGTGCAAGAGAAAATATAGGACCCTGGCTGAATGGGGTTGTGTGTAGCGGGACGGGATGCCAGGATCTGAGCAGCCTAAGCCAGAAGATTGCCTTTCAATAGCTGCCTCACCTAAGAGCATGTAACACCCACCTTGTACACCCAGCACACTCTTTATCCAAACAAAGCATGCAAGAGGTTCTCTCCAAAGAACATAACATAGGGCTCTACTGGTTTCTAGAAAAATGAAATGTCATCATCATATTGGCAATTTTAGCCCCCATGCAAAGGGAAGGAGATAAAAGGATGGGAGAAAGGGCACAGAATTTGCCCTGAGGATACTCGCTGGCCAGGACAGACCCTCTACTCACTTGACTTAAGTGACTGAAGGCACTATCAGCTTAACCCACTTTCCCACCAGCAGAACTACCTGTCCCAGGCCCTGGGAAGAAAATGAAGAGTTCTGGAGACATAGCAGGCAATGGTGAAGGCCAAGGCAGAATGCCTCAGATGTGGAGGACGTGGATAACAAATAAGCTGTTATTTTCTAAAACAAGATGGGCCATTAAGCTTTGTATGATTGCACATGACATTCAGAGCACGTGGTCAATTTCAAAAGCAATGCAGAAAGTGAAATAGATGATGAGCTGCAGCAGCTCATGTTTACCAGCATGCTGGGAACCTACCACACTGTCCTAGATACTTAGGATAATGGATGACCACAAAGATCCCTCCCCTTATGGAGCTTAAAAATCTAACAGAGGGAACAGTCAATGAACAATAAACATAATAAGTAAATGATATCATGGGTTAAATAATCAATGATTTGCAAAAGCAGAGAGGTAGGTCCCAGCATGGAATATCGTGAGTAGAGTCAGACTCCATGAGAAGAAAGATTTGAGCAGAGAAGTGAGAGTGGGTCAGTCTCAGATGTCTAGGGGAAGAGCTGTCCAAACAGAGGGGACAAAGCACAGCTCTAAGGTGGAAGAGAGGCATGAGACAGCATCTCAGGGCACGCTGGCTCTTGAGTCTTAATTTCATCTTTTATCTTTGCTTTCTAGCGCAAAATAAGGACTCAGGCCATGCTTACTAAATGTATTTAAGTCCCAAAACATCCAAGATTATCCAATTAGAACAATTCATTCAATCTATATGCCAGGGCTTCCTAAAAAACTGCATGCAAAATGTATTGGAAGAAAGTACAGCGCTGTATATAAGATTTCCTAAGGGTTTCTGACTCTTTCTCTCAAAAAGTAAAACGTCACAGCTTTATTTCCAAGAACATACAAGCAAAGTAGAAAAGTAAGACTCTATCGTACAGGGAGGAATCTCTCACAGAATGTACTTTTGGCCAGAGTCTAATGACAACTTCCTTTCAAAAACAGAGAGGATAGCAAGGCTCAGCAGGACGCAGACCCACGATTGGCATGCAGGCTGTCCTCACACCCTCTATCTACCCTGCTGCCCATTAATGAGGTGTGCCAAGTCCACAAAACAAATCCTAGACCTGGGGCGGGGGATTGGTGAGGAATAACCTTCTAAAAGCAATAAACACAGCATAACATGAAAAACTGGCTAAGTCAGGTGGAGGTGGAGGGTGTTAAAAGGAAAAAAAAAAAAAAAGAACTAAAGAATTCAATTACAGTAAGAACAGAACAGAACTATCATTTCTTGCCTTCATACAATTTGTCACTGCAAAAGCTTTTCAAAGAAATACAAACGGAGGCAAAAGAAACCAGTCTCATACGTTCCAACATATACCATTTATCCTTATAACTACTTTCCATATCAATTCAACATGCAACTCATAGGAGCTATTGAATTCGCACTTCGTAGGAATATTTAAATGAGAATACAAGACCAACATTTCTAGAAAATTGAATGTTTAGTATTATACTCCCCACATGGCCCCCCCGCCCACTCTCTTTTCAACCTTTCAGTTATTCCTAATTTCTCATTTATATTCAGGCTCTAATACTTTTATGCCATTATCATGGGTCTCTTTCTTGAATTCTGCTAAAAATTTTCATTTCACTCCACCTTTCCATGTATTAAAGAAAAATGGAAAAGCTGCTAAAAATCTCAATTGTCATCACATTACATGAGAAAGGAAGCATTATAAAATAGTTTAGGATATAAAAAGAGAAAATGATTTTTTCTATAAGGAAAGACTTGCTTTTCTGTACACCATATCCAAAGAAACTTACACCTGATAGCAATTATCAAATGCAATTTTGCTGAAAGACTGCTTTTATAAAATTGTTCTGTAACTATTCTTCACAAGGTGCCCTTACTCCACCTTGTAAATAATCTTCTCTAATTCAACTGAGATATTTTTATGATTCTGTAAAGCTCTGTATTCTGGGAAAAATTAAATCACTTTTTCTTTTGAATTAGGCTACTGAAGAAAATGTTTTTAACTTAAAAAAATAAAAGGTGAAAAATATATAACTTGGTGGAGAAAAACGATTATACATATGTATCTTCAATCTGCTAAGTGCTGCAATGGTTGACAAAATCACTTATGTATGTGTGGAGAGTCATGGTTTTCTGATTCATCTACAAAGCAAAATTAACTTTGGCTTTGGAACAATATAATAAAAGATATTATTTGAACATTATAAAGTGTAACATTTATGAAATAAGTATCCCTTCTGGGCTGGGTGTGGGAAAGAAAAGGGCTTCCCTTCAGGTATCATTAATAAATTCCTTGACTTTAACACAATATTCCCAATCTATTATTACTCAGTACTGAAAGGCAGCTCTTACCCTTGCATTCTGTTTCTCGGTTCTCATTGTCTTATTCACTTGTGTTAGAAAAAGGCAACATTAAAGAAGGCATAACACCTTATTAATGGTACCAGAATCTCTTCCAGAAATATCCTGTGATGCCAGTCAGGTCTCCTCAATATATAACTACTGCAGTTTGGCCCACCCATCTTAAACATTCCTTCCCATTCCCTTCTTAGATCCTAAGAAAAAAGACTACAAGAGAAAAAAGAAAAATGCATGTGATTTACTAGTGAGGAAACCGGTATTTGACAAAGCTGATAACACTAAAGCTGAGCATAAGGCTTGTCTCTGTGTGAAACCAAACAGAAGATAAACCTTAAAGACACAGTTGTGCCCGAAGCGCAAGTATGGACCATCTCCAATAAGCAATAAGTGGTTTTTGAATGAAGGTGGTTTCCATTTAAGAAAAGTATTCAGTGAATGTTTTTTCCCCTCATGAAGGTGAACCAGACTATAGGCATTAATGCTACAAATGACACTACCCACAAAGGAAGTGAAATTCCTTTACTATTATACTAACTATAGGATTGGGTTTCAGCTTTGCCCACAGCGATCCCGGAGAGGAAACCAAGAGGTAGATACTGGGTTATAAAAACAATGGTTTCTTCTCAGCTGAGTTCTGTGGTCATTTTATTACTCTCTCTATTTTTCCATACAAATCATGTTAAACATACTTACATTAGACTTACCCTCACCCTCCACTTTCCCAAAATTATTATTAGATATACACAGGTTGAGTATTCCTTATCTGAAATGCCTTGAACCAGAAGTGTTGTAGATTTCATGTTGTTCTGGATTTTGGAATATTTGCATTATACCCCTTGACCACTCTTAATCTGAAAATCTGAATTCTGAAATGCTCTAATGAGAATTTCCTTTGGGTGTCAAAAACACAAATTTCTAGTTGTGTAATGACTGACCAAGCTTTTTTGCACCACACATCAATTCAGGTGCAGTTGCCAAGATAACTTCTGCCCAGAACATAACAACTCAACCCAAACTTAAGACTTTTCCTTAAAAAGAAAAAGAAAGGGAGTCATTAAGCAACCACTTATCAATACTGACCTTGTTGTTCAACATCTGCTTCAGTTTTCGAAGAACCTGGTGCAACAGGAAGAGGCCGAGGCGGCCGGGGCTTTGGCGTGGGAGGCGAGATTTTTTTCCTTCCAATATATTCTACATAAGTTCCCGGAAAGTCCCCCCTTTCCCCTGTGGTTTCATTATAGCCATTTAACCAGCCAATTTCTTCAGGCCTGGCTTCCTGTCCATCACTGAATCCAAGAGCTACTAAGGACCCTTTATTCACAGTCAATATGTCACCCAAGTGCAAGTCAATATCTTCTTCTCTTTCTTTTTTATAATCATACAGCGCCCTGTACTGGTACCCCTCAGCACTCATGTTTGCAAATCTGCTACCATGCAACAGTTGAGCCTGGCTGTACAAAGCAGTCTGATTTTACGTTTTTATGAAAAGTGAATTCAGACAGTGTGTTAGAATTCCTATTATGTGTCCAGCAGAGGACAAAGGACCACTCTCCAAAGGTTTAAGAGGAGAGGTGACTGGCCATACGGCTGTCCATCTGTCCTCCATCAATGGTGTGACCGAAGACAGGGCTCCACTTCCTCTGCGTGCCACAGTCCTCCCACTGGCTTCCTTTTCAGCAACTTGTCAACACTTTGAATCCAGGCTGACTCTCACAGCGAGGCCCAATCCTTTCTGACACTTTTGTCACACTGTCCATCTGTCGTCTGATTGTACCGTGGCACTCCACACACGAGCTTCACCTAGGAATGAAAAAAACGAGACTTAAGAATGAACACCACACTTTGCCATCTGTATTAATTGGAATTTCTACTTCCATTCAACAAGTACTTAATCGATTTGGCAGACAGACACAGGCCAGTGTGCTATTGCTTGACACAACATACACAACAAAGATTAGTAAGGCAGTCGCTGCCTTCTAAGAACACTGGGCGGGGGCAGAGGGGAGGAGTGTCCGCATGAGGCAATGTCTCAGTGATAAGACTAGTACACAAAGAGCCGCAACACTAGTACATGTCATAAGAGAGGCAGAAACTAAACACTACAGGGTTCAAACGAGGGAGAAAGCACACTAACTGCAGGAATCTGAAGACAGAACGGAATGTGTGGTGAGATGCTAGTTACAGAAGTGACTAAGAAAATGTCATATTCTGAGAAGAGCTAGAACAGGCAGTCTGAAGCCAAAGAGGGAGCAGTGGGATTGGGGTTAGAGATTTAGGCAGGGGCTGTAGGACATCATGCACGCCCATGCTGAGTTTGTGAGTGATTCAGTCCACCATGTGGAACACTGAAAGGGCTTGGTGAAAAGTGAGCAATAGGATCAGAGCTGCACTTGAGGAACATCAGTCTAACCACAATGTGTGAGAAAGGTATGTTGCAGAGGTCTGGCCAAGAGGCAGTGAGGACACAAACCGAGGTGCCAGCAGGTGTGGAAAGGGGAGGAGTGAAATAAACACTGCAGAGAAAGAACATGTGGGATGTGGCAAATGCTTAAATGTGGGGCGAGAACGAGAGGAGCAAAGGACGCCTGATCCTGCGTGAATGAGAGTTTGTAGCACTATCAGGCAAAGAGAAGCCAGGTGACCTGATGTGCTGACGGTGATTCTGGGCACCCCCGTGCAAGTGTGCTAGCGGCTGATAAAACCCTGGTCTGTGATTCAGAAGAGGAAACACACTAGGGACTTGGCAATCAGCCACAATTAGGCAAGGCTGAACTCAATGGAATGGAAGCGCTCACAAGGACAAATTAAAAGTTAAAAAGAAAAAAAATGATCCAAGGGCCAAATAGTGAAGTTCAATGTATGTAACTGAGGAGGGAAAGTCAAGGTTTAGAGACAACGTCCCAAAAACAAGGAAGAAGAGTTCACGTAGGAAAATGTGATCCCTAAGACTAAATCCTACAAAGGCATCCAGACAGGAGAGACTGAGTCAAGGCGAAATAATTTGGGGCTTCGCCCATGATGGAATCATCACGCAGATTCCAGTCCAGTAGTGAGGACAGTAAGAACGTCTTAAGGAGTTCAAAAATATCAGAGAGGAAGTAGCAATGGCTGCTGCAGATCACTCTATAAAGAGAGCTTGATGGAGGAAATGGGAAATGGAAGTGTTTTTCTTTTTTGTTCTTAAACATAGTGGAGGCAAGGGAATTAGAGAGTTACTAAGTCAGAGTAGATGGCTGAGAACGGCATGTACACATATACACTTTGTACTCCAGGCATTTCTCAATGTTATCTTTATTATAAAGAGTAAAAGTCACCCAAAGGTTTCAGTTAAGCTGGCTGCACAATAAAGCAATAAAAACAATAGCCACACAATTTCAGTGGGCTATATCAAAGAGAGCTTTTATAAGTTTTAAAGAGTGGAACACTTTAGAAGTTTAATATTATAAGCACTCGTCAGTGGAGGCATCTTAAGAAGCAAAATCTAATCACAGATTAATTGTTATGTTGGCATTCAGAAGTGTAAAGTATTCAACTTTACATGGTTAAAGCCTCTTAGCTGTAATACAATAACACACTTAGGAGAGTTACATATTAAAAGAAGCAAAAACAAACACTGGAAGTCTTTGTGGAACAAGAATATTAATTGGGGACAGTACTCTACTCTGCATTTCAGTTGTCGGAGAAAAGAATTAAAGCAACCAGTAGAGCATATCAGAAAAATAAGCCATATTATTTGTTTAAAGAAAGCCTTTCCTTTTGAAAGATCCAGAATCAAATTGAATATTCACTGCATAAATTCACATGAAAATGTAGAACTAGCAAATCTCATTTTTAGTACTAATGTACTCTGTACAAAAGAGACACAGACCTCTAAAGAACATGAACATTTACATATCCCTAAATGCTTAGAAACCAGGCAATATGCCTAAGAATAATTTAATTCCTCCAAATCTGCCTTGAAATTTTTGTTAGCTTTTCCTGGCAATGTATGTCTTTTAGGGAAAAAAAATCCTCAACCAGTAGGCTGGGTAGATCTTTATGCCAGCTGCTTCCTAGCACTTCCTTTATTCCAGCCACCCAGTGGGCCAGTTTGGTGGGATTCCTAATAGAATGGGAAGTATAATGAACAAACTCTCCGCCATCTTCAATCCCCCAGGAACCATCAAGCAAGCCCCTGCCCACAGCTTACCTCTGAAGCTGTTCCTTGCCAGGGGGCTCTGTATTAAGAAAAGGCTCCAGGTCTTGTCAAGGTTTTACAAACCTAAAAGCTGTGCTTGACTCTGCCTGAGGCTAAATTTGTGCAAAGGGAAATAGAAACCTAAGGAACATGATGACTTTTTAGAGGCTAGACACTAGAGAGGCAATCCCTGTCAGAAGTGACAGAGAACTAAAGGTCTCTACAAACTCTCTCTCCCTTGCCACCTGTAAGAACAACCTTACTTTGTGTGTAAGAAGAACCCTGTGCAGAACTCTGGGTCCTCATCTGATAAAAAGAACCACAAATCTTCTATGACTCTAGGATTGTAAATAGAACACACCATTTCTGTCTTCTGAGATCCCAAAGCAAGGCCAGGAAGACGGATACAAACAGGGCATCCACCCATTGATGCAGACATTAATTCAAGGCCAGCCATTAGTCAGTGTCAATTAAGTGGTCTGAGGGCAATGTTGTTTTAAAAAAAAAAAAAAAAAAAAAAAAAGGAGCAGACAAGTCATTGGGGTGGGGACAGGACCACAAGGTGATAAGGTGTAGAGAGCCCTTAGCTAGATAGAGAAGGCAGCCACCCCTACTCTTTTGCACATGGTACACTTTCTCCTGACTGCCATGTCCATTTTGATGTCTGTCATTCTTGAGGATTGAATGGGTTAATACACATAAAGCTCCAGTTAAGCATTGGGTGATGATGATGATGATTGAGTTTGTACACATATAGCTCCAATTAGTATTGGATGATATGATGATGCTGAACTATATATATATATAGTCATATGTGTGTGTGTGTGTAGATAACTATATAAAAACAGGTACTATCAGTAGTCTCACTTAACATAGGACAGAGAGTATCTCTGTCATGATAATACTCAGCAATTGTGAAGAGGAACTAGAATTCAGATCCAGGCAGTCTGACTCTGTAAGTCCCATTTTTAACACCTCTAGCATCTACTGCCTGAACTCAACTTGCTTTGGTGTCAATGATGCAGATTCCTGGCCTACACAGGCTGATCACTCCGATTAACCTTAACTGTCTGTGTGCCTCTTCAACTCTCTCAGACAGCGGCTTTACTGATAGTGTATGTGGCTCTTTCACACTACCTGCACACACAAAAAAGCTATTTTAACTCGACAGCAGTTCCATCAACTCCAAAACCCAGCATCTCAGCCATGCAAATTTTCTTCCAAAGAGACTTCATTAAAATGTGTCCCTGCCAAAGAAGTCCATAAACTAGTGAATAAAAGGATACTGGGCACACCACTTCTGGAAGGCTGCCCACTTCTGGAATCCTGCCTATTTCTGCCCTATGAGTTTAGCTTCTGCCACCTGTATCCTTCTTAGCACCTCTGCCTCCTGCCACTATCCCAGGCCCCTCCACTGAACAATTTCCAACAACTCAGCTCCTACCTGGGGGGATATGGCACTGCCACAAGGACTGTTACATTTAGAGGACTGGGAAGTCCTCTTTTCTCTCATCCTCAAATTCTTCACAGTACTGCACCCAGCAGCTTGAGGTATTTGGCAATACCTGTGTAACCAACCCCCCGCACCGAGATGGACCTGGAGCCTAAACTATCCAGATCAACAGGATTTTTCCTCAGATTCACTCTAGCATGCCTCCATTCTCTTTCGCTACATATACCTGTCCACTGAACGATTTTCACCCAGTTGTGACATGATTATTCACATAGCAAAGGTTTTTTATATGTAGATAACATTATCTACAATGTAATATTTTCAAATAACCAAGGCAGTTTTTTGATATAGGCTCCAAGCTAGTGCATGCATAAGTTATTGTAACAAAAGGTATAAAGGAATCCTACGAACAAGTAAACTAACTTACTCTTATACAATATCATATGCGACAGTTCAAAATTTTAAGGAATTTTTCTCCAGTCTTTCAATCCTTCTAATGACTGCCTGCAATCCCATTAATCAGAAGCATATTTTCTGTCCCTGCTAAGATAGAGAGCAATTCTCTTTCTATTCCCCAAAATGAAATTGTTTCTGATGTTTGACAAGTAGCAATCCAAAGCTACTTAAAGTACAACTGCTGTAAAGTAGATTTTGTGTGTAACCCTCTAACCTATAGGCATTTTGGCAAAGAGCCAAACAAAAAACCCTCTCTGACTTTGTTGAGTTACTCCATTCCCCCTTTAGAAATGGCAAGAATCTGGAAAACGTGATGGAGAGGCAGGAATACAGGATATTTCTAAATCACATTAAATTGATCAAGAATATATCCAAGTCATGTGATTCTATCTCCCAATGAAATTAAAAGTTTGGCATTGGATGGCAGAGCAAAATGGGTCTTCAACCAAGGCAGGAGGGTATGGAAGGATTCCTGGGCCCACAGCCCATATCTCTCTACATTCCGTCTTTCTAACTTCAGTGTGCTAGCTCAGAGTCTAGGTCAAGTTCCTCACCTAAATTCAAACAGTCTTTTAAAAAATCATTATTTAAAAACGTTTTACCTTCCAAATCATGGTATCCCAGAAATCATGAAAATCAAGCTGAACAAAATTAAAATATCCTAGTCCATTTTGTGTTGTTATAATGGAATTCCTGAGACTGGATAATTTATAAACAACAGAAGTATATTTGGTTCTAGAGGCTGGAAAGTCCAAGAGCACGGCACTGGCATCTGGTGAAGGCCTTCGTCCTCCCTCCTCTTGCAAGGGCAAGACAGCAAGATGGGGCCAAACTCGAGTTTATAACAAGCCCATTCCCAAGATAACTAAGCTACTCTTGCCATAATGACATTAATCCATTCATGAGAGCACAGCCTCCTATTAGGCCCCACCTCCCAACACCATTGCATTAGGGATTACATTTCCAACATGTAAGTTTTAGAGGACACATTCATCCCATAGCACCTAGTAAACATAATAAATTGCCTTCAATTTGAAATGATGAACTTGGGTGAATTTTATGGTATGTGGATTTTATATCAATTAAAATAAAATGAAAATAATGGGCTTAGATTAACCCCAAATAATACACATCAAATTCATTTCCAAACCAACCAACTAAACAGAATGTGTTGCATGCTGCCATGCTCAGGGCTGGGTGTGTGGTGTGGGTAAATAGGGTGTATAGGCTGTAATTCTCACCTACAAGCCCTTTTGGTGTTGTGTTTATGGGGCGAGGGAGAGGAGAACAGGTAGCACAAGCCCAGGTAACACAACAAGGAGGCAGGGCTCTTCAGAAAGCAGCCAACATGATGGGAAGGCACTGCAGGAGACACAGAGGAATGACCCTGGCCCAGGTGATGGCAACGCTTTGGAACGCAGTAGCCATTACGCGGAGGCTGGGAGAAAGGGTGACGTAGCTTCTGGGACCTGAGGGACAGATCCTGTCACCCAGAAAAGGCCATGAGGCTGACCATTTCGGTTCTCTGCATCCTCACAATGGAGAGGACCTGAGAGGGCAGGAATGAGAAGACTGAAGGGGATGATTTTAAGTCTTTCTTTTTTTGAAAAAAAAAGATGCTATTCTGTAAACTTCTTGGCAAGGTTAGTATGAACACTGAGCTTCAGATTCAAGCAGCTGCCCCAATCAGTACCTAAATATGTAACCTCAGGAAAGTTACTTAAACCTCTCTGGGGCACAGTTTTATCATCTGTGAGACAGATACAAGCAAACCTACACCTCACAGAGTCACTATGAGGATTAACAAAATGACACTTAGCTCCATACTTGATAATAGGAGCTTAGGATAATTAATGCCAACATAGTACTTACTATGTGCCAGGCACGAAGTTCTCAGAGTTGTACATACATCAACTCATTTAATCATTACAACCACTCTAAGTACAACTATTATCCCCATTTTACAGATGAGAAAACAAGCAGATAAAAGTTAAATACTTTGCCTAAAGTTACATAGCTAGTAAACTGCAACTATGATATTACTGTTATTTCTATTAGTATTGAATGTCACCTACTGTCATTTATACAATTCAGATTTAACAGAGGAACAAACATTTGTGAGGAATTTTCTTCTGCATTGCCTCTTAACTCGCAAATAGTTCTAAATGAATCCTGAATGTAACTAAAATAAAACTCCCTGCTGTCTTAAACCCCTTTTGGAGTAAATAGATAAAGGCTAAGTGTGGACTTTGCCCATGTAGTTCTCTCCTTACCTGGGGTAGAGGACGGCTCCGCAGAGGTCAGGACAAAGGAGGCCTGGGAGAGGCCAAGGGATGTGTCCATGTGTGCGCATCCCCAGGATGTAGAGATAAGTAGCTCATGGTACGGCCCTTGATCCTGGGGCAGAACCCCAGGCTGGGACACTGGGACATCCAGGGAGGAAGACAACAGGCAAGGAATGGCTGGCCCAGATGCCTTGGCTTTATTATCTCACTGCACCCACTGGTGGAGTCTCCTCACACTTTGGCCAGACTCCTGTGACTTCAGTACTCTGTTGGATGATCATTAACCTGACAACTATTTTGACTACAGGTGCCTGTGGATATGTATTTGATTTACTTTAAGGAAAACAATGTGAGCAGAATAAAATCTCCAAAGATGTTTCTACTGTAGACTTTTTTTTCTAGTAATGCTATACCACAATCACTCCAGTCTTTCAAATAAACAAACACCTAACACCTAAATAAATAAATGCCAAACAGACAAGTTTATAAGTAATTATATAGTCTATTTTTTCAGCTCATGTGGCTTACTGTACATGAAATGGTCATTAATTGCTAGTCTTTTAGGCAAGTAACTCCATACAAGTATTGGTAGAATCATGGCAAGTAATCACATTAGGGTGTATGTAAAGGAGGCATGGGAAAATGCAGTAAATGACATGAATACTTTGAAAATTAATTACAACCTAGGTTTTTGATAAAAAGCTGTGATATAATTTATATTCTGCTTTCTAAAGTAAAAACTAACTTGATAATTCCTTCCACTGATAACTAACTTTCTAGGCTTCCAGGGCTTCATTAAAATGCTTCATTCTCTTACCTTCACTTGCAAACCCTGTGCCCTTCAAGAGGGAGAGCTGGAGGAGCCCATATGAAATATACAATATCATCTGCATTGTGTATGCCTTGACGTGACAGAATTCTAAAACCCAACACAAACATTATCTCAACTGGCTATATTCTACTTGAGCACAAAAATCAATTTTTTTTCAGCCTGCTCATTCACCATCTCTTTATTCAATAAAACAAGCATTTTGCAAATCACAAAATGCAAACACAATAAAAGCTGAACTAGAATTGTTCCTATTTTAATGATTATGTGAACAATCTTTCAGACTGGCTGTCTTTTGACAATACTCCCCTGAACGACCTAAGAGAAAAAAGGAAATTTCAATCAACATATCAACCTAAAAATTACATGACATTCATGGAAAAATGTAACGAAATGGCCAACACTTTTAATGGTACAAAATTTTGGTTAGTTTGAGTAGGTTTGCATTTACAATTCAAAGTCCTTCAAAAATCATTTTAGGTGAAACTGACATTACCAGAAGATAAACGCATATCACCATCATCACTGTCAATAATCAAAATACGTATTCCCATGACTTATTGTTCCACTTCTGTTTCCCAAAACTAACTTTATTCTGTGAGGATTTCCTGCGCTTAGTACATTTAAACTCAAAAAATTGCTAAAGAAAAAACATTTAATAAGTGGGAAATAAAATGCTTTTTATACTGACTATACAGCATCATGGATATGAAAAGACTCATTTTTAAAAAGCAGATTTAAAAAAGCAGATAAAACATCAGATAGTAGTGTGTACACTGCAGAGTTCTGTTATGCAACTAAGAACAGGTCCCAAGTCAAGATGAAAGTTAAAAGTAAATGCACATTACACTTTGCAAGCCAGTATCAGATACATTAAACTTTCTTCCAATCATAAAAATCTATATACACTTCTCTGGAAAAAGCAGTATGACCTGCATATAAAAGCTGAAGAGGCAAGCAGTGACATTACCCAGCAGTTGTGCAAGGCAGGGAGCCTCATCCTCTGGCCTTTCCAACTTAAACCTTTACTCTGAACCAACATTTCTTCCCAAACTTTAGCCGTGCGCGCGCACGCACGCACGCATGCACGCGCACACCCACATACACACACACACACACACACACACACACCCCACATTACTCTTATTTTCTTTATACTGGTCAGAAACATTTGCTTCCCAAAGTTTACTCAACTTTTGCACCTAAGAAAACTATTATCTGCTTGCTTCTAAACTGTTTTTCAAGAACAGTGTAATCTGTCAAAAAGTTATAGCTAGTGAGTTGCTTTTTCTTCCTTTTCAATGTTAAAAGATACTTGTGGCCTTCTGTGCAGAAGTCACCAAATTCCTAGTAATTCAAACTGTGACGATCTAATACTCTAATAGCCTGCTTAAGAAATGAACCTATCTGCCTATTCCAACCCTTCCTACCTAATATCTAACCATCTTTAAGATTGCCAAAACGTAACAGAACTAATGAAGTATTAAAATATAACTCCACATCAAGCCTTGACCAATAAGCTCTGTGAATATCCCGCCTGATTACTAAATCTTGAGCCTCATCACACCAAAATGACAATCTTATGTTGCATTCAAAACCCGGAACTGCTTTATCCACTGGTACTTCGCACTGACTGACAAAGAGGAAAAGAACAGAAAAAAAAACCTAAAATCATGAAGCCCCCAAATAAAGAGCAGACATCAACAGCGCTGCAGCTCAAGGGATTAACGGTGGAAGTGAGACCTTTCCGGTATTAATAGCGCCCCGGGAAACAGAAGAATTCCCCCAAATCCAGTTGACATACATTCTGCATTCAACATGTAACAGCCATTCTGCGTATACCCTTGCAGTTCAGGCTCCAATTCTGGTTCCCAAAGTGTATTTCTGTACAGGAGTGCCTGGCCAGAGGTTTTCTGTTCTCTTTGTCTTGTGATCTGGGGGGCAGTTTCTGAGCTTAGGTTAGAGCTGTGGTTAGAGTTCACTAGTGTAAGAGCTGTGGTTTCCAGAGAATTGCCCACGATATTTTAGCTCCGGGTTGCACGCTCCCTGGCTTTCCCCAGCCGGCTCCATATTGCTGGGCAGGTCCCTCCCGTCTCGCCCCACGTTCCAAAAAGCTGGATTTCCGGGCTGTTCCAAGACCCCACTAAATATGCCTCCAACAACCTGCCCAAGCTTGGCTGGCACTAGACGCCGAGTTAGGGCCCCAGCGACCAACCGCCCCGAGGCGCACTTCCCCCACCCCGGAAGAGGAGGGCGGCAAACTTCGGAAGGCGGGGGTTAGGGGACTAGCTCTGCGGACCACCGGCGCCTCTCCAGCCCCGGGAAGGGCCAGGGCAGCGACCCTGGCTGCAGCTGGAGGACCACGGGCGAAGGGAGCGCTCCTTCCCGCAACACGAAGGCAGCGGCCAGGGCGCTCTCCTCCGGTGAGGGGCCGCGGAAAACTGCAGCAAGGCGACAGCAGGGACCCTCGGAAGTGTGCGATGATGGAGGGTTGGGGGAAGCCCGAGCTCGCCGGCAACTCCGGGGGCAAATGCGACCGGCGGCGTGCAGAACCCGCTCACAGGAGGACAGGGGAAACGGGAGCCAGGATGGCCGGGATCTCGCAGGACGCCGGCAGCGCGAGGGGGGAGTGCTGTCCGGTGGCCAGGAGATGCCGGAGGCGGGGAGGGTCAGTGGCCGGCCAGCTTCCCCCCGGCGGGGCTCTGCAGAAGGAGAAGCGGCTGCCAGTGACAGGAAGAGAGCCGCGGCAGCCGCGCACACATGCACCGCCTCCCCCGCCCGAGCACACACACCCGGGGCCACCGCTGCCTACCTCCCCCGCCTGCCGGCTTCCTTCCTCTGCGGGGCCAGCGCTGCAGCGGCGGCCTCCTGCCCTCTCGGTTCCGACGCGCCTCCAGCCCGGCTGCGACCCGCCGGCCGTGCCCGATCTGTGCTCGCCGTCTCCGACCGCTAGCCTGCCGCCCTCGCCGCGGCCACTGCTTCCTCCAACTCCGCTCCAGCTGCTCGCGACTCCTCTCCGTGCGCCCGCAGCTCCAGCGCCCGGCGCTGGCCCCGCCTCCGGCCCGGCCCCGCGCGCCCCGCCCCCGAGCCCACACCAACCAGAGCCCGCGGCTCCGCCCCTTTCCGCCCGCACGGCTCCGGCCTCCGAGCCGGCGGCCGGCGGTGGGGGAGCGAGCTCCGGCCTGGCGGACCTTTCCTGCCACCGCCCTCGCCTTCCGCCCCCAGCCGCGGGGATGCCCCGGGCGGCCGTGCTGCGCGCTGCCTCTGCTGCGGAGTGCTCTGGCTCTGCGCGTCCCGGGCCGGCCCGGCTGCTGGGCGTCTCCCAGCGCAGAGGCGGAGGGGTTCCGGGAGGTCGAAGACAAGTTCAGACCTCCCGGGAGGCTGGCTGTGTCTCTAATCCGAGTGTCTTGCAGCCAACCCCAGGCTTTTTCGAGCCCCTAGCGCCCCAGCAGAGTGGCTGGGGTGGGGAGAACTCGGATTCCGGAGCTCGCCAAAGCGGGGAGGCCTTGCAATTCCTGGCCTCGCCAGCACAGCCTCCCCAGTGGGCGGAAAACCCGCGCCACCCGCTTGGCGCTCCGGGGGTGAAGGAGGGGTGAAAGGGTGAACCGGAGGGACGGGCGCCCGCAGCCTGCCGCTAGCTGACTCCGGCAGTCTGGCACCGCCACCTCCGGGAGCCAGGCGGACCCACGAGAAGGGAAGAGAGTTTTCTGAGGGTGTACGCTCATGCCTTCCAGTCCTGAGATGACAGAGCAAATGGAGGTCACTCAGGCAGACCACGGGCCCCTCGGCGTTCGCGGGGTCGGTGGCGGCGGGCAGGAGGGGTTCGGAGGGAAGCTCGGGTGAATTACATTGTCTCTTAAAGGTGTTAGTTTTGAAATGCAGATTCTTCAAGTAATAATTACCTAAATTGCTCCAGAAAAAATTGATGTTGGTTCAAACCTTCCACTGATGATAAGATGGAATGCCAGCACCCCGTGTGTGCCGCTCTTTCATATTAAAACATGTGAGAATCTGCTTCCTAAAAGCTCTTTCCAGATTCTCCTTTCTGCAACTTAAAGCCCTGCACCTGCCCACCCTGCGTGCCTAAAGCCCTTTTATAGTTCCCTCCCAGTTTCCTTGCAAGAAAACTCTTTTAAAAACAAACAAAACCTAAGCACTTGGCCTCTGTAAAACGTTGACTTTGGTGGTTTATTCCTGTGGGCGTTGGAAGTAGAGGGAAGAACGTCCTAAAATTCATCGCTTATCCTTAAAAAATATCATTTTTAAAGGTGACTCGCCTAACAGAAAAGTAAGCTCCACTTTAGGCTATTCAGACACTGGTGTTTCTATTATTCCAAGTTGTCTCTTGAAGAGGCGACACGAAAACAGGCAGCTACCCACATCAGGTTTAAGAATACACTTTATCTAAAAGCAAATATGAAATTTACCAAGGTACCTCCTTCACACCTACTGTGTGAAATGAAGGACCTCATGCATTCTCTGTCTGTAAATGAAATGATGTAACTTGCCTTGCAGTAGAATTACTTTGATCCAATCCAATAAGCTGAGATGAAACTGCTGTGACCTTCACAGTATTTCCTTTAGGTTCTGCTCTGAACAAACTCTAACAGTGAAAACCTTGCTAGTTATCTCCTTTTTTTTGGAGATAGCTGGAAAGAGCCTTATGCACTATTACAGTGGGGTTCTGTTCACCCGCAAACCTAAAATCAATAAAATTCTCAAATGCACCTCCTCATTTAGACAGTCTTTAGTAATTTATTTCCAGCGTACGTTGTATTTCCTTTACGTTTTTTCATCATATTTGAACATATAAGTATGAAGAGTGTCCCAAGGGAAGAAAACAAGGCTCTCTTTTCATATACTGAATAAATTCAGTATTTCATTTGTTTTAAACTGATGATATTCCCCCCCATATCACTAGTATTAGCATTTTTATTTTCACCTTCAATCGATTTCTATGAAACAGAAGCAAAGGCAACAAAACAGCAATATTCAAGCTTTTTTAAAAATAATCTTTTTATTTAAAAATATCTAGTCTAGAATCCCCAAATACAACTGCTATAAGGTAACAAGTCATGTAACAAGGCCAAGAGGCCCATTGCACCACCTCCCTTCCTTCTGTCTAGAACCTCTGGGTCCTTGGACTAGAAACATCTGCATCTCCTGAAAATTTGTTGGAAATTCAAATTGTCCTTACTGAATCAGGAATGCTGAGGGTGGAACCTAGCAATCTGTGTTTTAATAAGCTTTCCAAGTGATCTGATACATGCTATGGTTTCAGAACTATTACTCTAGGGCTTCTGGAAACACTGATTGAAAACCTCTGCAATGAAATACTCACATAAGTACCCAAACACCACGGTTCAATCAGTAATGGCCAAACTGTTGGCTGGCAGGTAGTGACACCAGCAAGGAACTGGAAATAGCAGAAGATGTACAACTTGCAACAAAAGGGGTGATACAGGGGTGTCACAAGGCATAAGGGTGAAGGTCTTTTGGAAGTCAGCCGTAGGAAGTCAAGGACCCCCAAATGTCAAGAAAGGCTTTGAATGGCCACAGGCTGAGAAAGAATTCTCCCCAAAGTATGGTAGGATACTCTCATTTGGCATCATCACTCCAGCTACATCAATATTGTGAGTGCTAGAATTAGCTTTCATTAGACTTGAAACCTAAGAATGTATCTTAGGGTTCAAAACCAACATGAATTACAAATGGTTTAGACCCTTCTCAAGTGAGGCCCATAGACCAGCAGTTTTGGAACCATGTAAGAGCTTGTTCGAATAGCAGACTCCCAGGCCCTATCCCAGGCATACTTAATCACAATCTGCATTTTAACAAGATTTTCAGGTGATTCCTGTGCAAGTTAAACTTAGAGAAGCTCTATCTTAGACAGGGGTTCTCAATTTTCTCTACACATTGCAAATACCTGAGGAGCCTATAAAAATCTCAATACCTGGTCTGTACCCCAGATGGATTATATCAAAATCTCCGGGGTGAAATGCAGGTATTAGTAACTTTTAAAGCTCACATTATTCCAATGTGAAGCCAGGTTTTAGGAACCACTGCCTTGGAGGAGCCATTTAAGAAAGGCACCATTAGGAAAGCCCTCTGGGTACAGTAGAGTACAAATGGCTGGTCTTAAAGAGAGCAGCTGAACTAGAGTTTAGCTAATTGTTAACACACAGGAATGTGAACCCAGATTTTCCAATTTTCCTAGAGAAGCTGGAAATCCAGATTTTTATGGGCAATTTTCCAATTATTGAATGCTGGTAATGAATTCAACATTTTTTGAAATATGGGTTAGGCCACATTCGTGTGATTTTTTGAAATGTGGGTTAGGTTAGTGTGATGTTATGATGCTGCACATCATAAAATAAAGTGGCCAAAAAAAAAAAAAAGTCACTCAAGAAGAGTACTGGCTTGTTGGAATGTCAGCCTGATAATCTAAAGAGTCAAGTATTTTAAATGTTCTGTTCTGTAACAGAACCAAACACTGTAGGCATTCAATGACTGGGAACTGGTAATGGGTGAGATATCAATGCTTGCAACCCTGGGGCAAAACACTATGATCTTCTGTGCAATATTTTTATTTTCTCTTTCTCCTGCCTGCTAACTGATGTGTTGTGGGTGGGAAAGTGGAATGAATCTTTGCATTACTTAGCTTAAAATCTGCACCTAAATCAGCTTGGGCTGTAGCTTCAGAGGGTGCAAGCTCCAAACCATGGCAACTTCCACATGGTTGGGACTGTGGGTGCACAGAAGTCAAGAACTGAGGTTTGGAAATCTCTGCCCAGGTTTCAGAGGATGTATGGAAATACGTGGATGTCAAGGCAGAAGTTTGCTGCAGAGGTGGAGCCATGATGAAGAACCTCTGCTAAGGCAGTGCAGAAGGGAAATGTGGGGTTAGAGCCCTCACACAGAGTTCCTACTGGGGCACCACCTAGTGGAGCTGGGAGAAGAGGACCACTGTCCTCCAGACCCCAGAATGTAGATCCACTGACAGCTTGCACCGTGCCCCTGGAAAAGCCACAGACACTCAATGCCAGCCTGTGAAATCAGCCGGGAGGGAGGCTGTACCCTGCAAAGCCACAAGGGTGGAGCTACCCAAGACCATGGAAGCCCACCTCTTGTATCAGTGTGACCTGTATGTGAGACATGGAGTCAAAGGAGATCATTTTGGAGCTTTAAGATTTGACTGCCCTGGTGAATTTCAGCCTTGCATGGGGCCTTTAGCTCCTTTGCTTTGACCAATTTCTCCCATTT